AAACACCAGTTTCAGGTACCCTGAGAAAATTTTAATTCAAGATCGTTATCAATTTAGCACTGTGAATGTAAAAATTAATCAAATAAAATAACTAAAATTGCTTATTGGTCCATTATCACCAGCCTAATGATGTTCTCAGCTCTGAGGTACAGGAGCTGCAGTCTCTACAGAGTTTGCGATCACAATCTTACCGAATTCTCTTACCCAGTAAACGATTATTACAAGTCTCTTCAGTTAAGTATATTGTTATTTATTAGGCACGTATCGAGTGCAACTGTCAAATTAGAGATTTTCATTAGTTTTCTAGCGATCGAGTTTGACAAATCGGTCAGTGAACTCTGCGATCGCTACTTAACGATTGCAAACTCTATCGAGACTGCAGATCTATGGATGGAATCTTACAGATTAGTGAGAGGCCATGTTTACCATGTGGGCCTTCTTCAGATTACTAAGTTAAGTGTTGACGACTGCAGATGTAGCCAATTGATTATTGGTGCAATTTTATAATATTGTTGGCATAAACTGGAACTGAATTTAGTTTTAATCATATGAATTGCGATTTATGTGTTTAATACAGTTTAGATAACAGTATCCTATAACATTATTATTATAGCCCCTACAGTGGGGACGTAAAAGAGCTGGTGATGATAACATTATAGTTTAAAGGTGTATACTTATGTTTCTTAAATTACATATGACTTTTTACGGTTAACTTATTTTGTTAGTTTGGCGTGTGTCACAAGACAAATGTCTCCATTTATAAAGTTTACTAAACTCAAGCGAAATTGAAATTTATTTATTATTGCTAAATAATACAATCCCCTATAGATAGAAGAATTTCATTAAAAAATTTGCTTAAGAACATTTAATAAAAAAAACTTAAACTTTTATTTTACTTAATTCGAAATAAAAATTGGTTTGTTATTCTGGTAATATGTAAACGTGCCGTCTTAAATATGGGATATATTTTAAATATGACTGATAGTGATATATAATTTATTTAAATAGGTATTTCTTAAATATTGTTGTAAAATAATACTTACTTTATAATAATATTTTTTAAATAATGGGGTTACATTGAATAGATAAAATATGTTTTTTTATATACTTTATATGTTAAATTTACTTTCTTATGCAAGATATATTCAACAACATTTAAATAAAAAATATTGTTATTACAAACTAAGGTCTTGGGATTTACACATCAGTTTACCATAAAATAACACATCTTCGGATTTTTTCAAATTTTGAACTTAAATGCCAACAAGGTAAGGTTTGAAATTAATCAGAGTCAGTTTTGGATAACCTGATGTGCCATTAACTGTACGAAAAGCAATCACACAGTCGTCAATGAACAGTTGAAAACTCAAGCTTATGTGAAGCAAAAAAATATATGTCACATTGTTACTTGCATCATCTTTATGGTTCTAGCAGTACGTGATGAGCTCGTCAACCAAGCAAGGCTGGTCACAGCATTCGGACACAACTCCTCTTTTGCTCGTCGGGATTTCCAATGTCAAGGCATACTGAGGCGACAGCCAAGGCCACTCTCGATACACCGATAAGACCCCTGATCTCTTTGGAAGAACTTTATTATTACAGTAGTATGCCAACGTGACGGCTAATCTACGTCCACAAACCTGAAGTGAAGGGTCTTCGGGAGAAAGACTGCCCAGACTTATTATAGATAGCAACACTATGATAACAACCTTCATGGTGTACACCTGATGTTGTTCGCTGACAGAATGTAGCCCAATAAATGAGTGAACTCGATTTTATATAGGTTTAATTCATTAATATTCAGTTAAATTTAGGAGGTGACTTTAATCCATAATCAGACTTCGTCTCATATGTTATGTCCACATACGTGGGAAGACGAGTTCAGACGTTTTTGACGATCCATTGAACTTCAGATGGAGATTTAACTGAACATTTTAACTTAGAATAAATAATTTGAGGTGTTTATTTATCATACAATGTCAGAGCATATTAATTCCTGTAACGAACATAGCTTATGAATATTGATGACAATATCAGATATAAAAGGATCACACGTATATGTATCATTTCACATTCGAAGTCAACAACGTTCAGGACACATCAACAGCTGAAGAAGAAACAATGAAAACTCAATTGCTCTTTATTCTTTTCGTCGTATCCATGATGTCTTTAGCATCAGGGAAGTCATCTGTTCAAGTCTTCTGCGGCAGAAAATTGGCGAATACTCTGGCGTACTTTTGCCAAAATAACATGTTGGGTAAACGGAGCTCCAGTTCCAATTCCATTGAGGACTACGATGAGTTTGGATGGCCATGGATGGTGACTAAAGCGAGAGCTCTAGAGGACCCCAGAGGCAAGAGAGGTGTGGTATCCGAATGCTGCGACAATCCCTGTACTCTATCTGAACTTCTGTCTTATTGCTAAATATGTTTTTGTGTCTTTAAACTTGTGGTGATGTTAAAGTGCATATGTGTTTTATTGTATTTTATCTTTAAGCTTCGTTCTGTTGAATAAAGAACTAAAACCTTCTTTTTCTAGTCCTCATTTTTTGAACTGTATAAAATAGTCAACCTTACCTTGTCAAATTCATTTTGTAGCAACGTGTCTAATTCTGTGACCTAATCAAACACTTAAAGGTAAAAGAGAAGAGTGTGAAAAAATTATTGATCTATAAAAAGTTGGGTTTCACTTACAAAGTAAACTTCAACATGTTAATACTTTTGTTGCGATTTTATATTAATTTAATATTCCAATAAATCGTTATTTTCAACACAAAAAAGGGTGTAGATTAAATTTTACCGTCTTTATCATTCACGCATTCGACAATAGTTTTGATTAAATGTAATTTAAATACCTTTTTTATTTATATCAAAAATGATTTAAAATTCGTAACACTTTTTAATTAGGCAATTAGAAAGTGTTTTGGACGTTTTTTACGATAGATATCAGCAAAACATTTAGTTTTTGATATATTTTCGTCATAAATAAAACAAACTCCATATATTGCCTCTGAAAAAGTTCACGATAATAATGTTCCAGCTTACTTTTAAAATCTACTTTGGTCCTGGTAATCTGAGACGGGATTCGAACCTACAATCTTTCGTAATACGACTGTGGATTTTTTCAAGAACTCGTCACTTTTTCGTTATTACAGAAAAGTTTTCTGGGAAAACACAAAATTAAAAATAATTATCCCTATACGACATTTGAATATTCAATTCTTTTTCTAAAAAATTGAACCGACTTGAAACTGTGTCTGTGCGAAAATTGACTTTTCTCATTTTATAAAGTTTGAAGTCGGTTCTATTTTTAAGCGACTTCATTATCGACAAGGAGGAGGTTATATGTTCAATGGTGATGTATGTTTTTTTATGTGTGTTCACCGATATTTTCATCAATTGTTGACCGTTTTTTAATATTTGAAAACCGGGTTAACTCGCAATAAGGTGATGCTATGTGTATGGTGGGATTGAAAGGGCATTATTCATTATGAGCAGTTTCCGTCAGGTAAGACTATCGATTTTTAAATCTATTGTGAACAACTGATGAGAGTAAAGATAGAAGTTGAGAGATAACGGCCACAATAAATCAATAGAAGTTGTATGGGTTTCATCATGATAACGCTAGACTTCACACATCTTTTGCTACTCAGCAAAAATTAAGAGAGTTCGGCTGGGAGACGTGTGTGTATCTGCCATATAGTCTTGACCTTGCATCTTCAGATTTCCACCTGTTTCGGTCTCTTCAGAATTCTTTAGGCAGTGTCAGGTAAACATCATGCGAGGACTGCCAAAACAACTTGTCGCGGTTTTTTATCAGAAGTCCTTAAATACTTATGACAATGGGATCATGTCCCTACCTTTTTTTTTTTTTTTTTTTTTTTTTTTTTTTTTTTTTTTTTTTTTTTTGACGCTGAGAAATGCATTCCGCATGTCCGCTCCCCCCATGCGCTGGGGTTCACGGGGTCTGTGGGACTCCTCCTGTGGTCCCGCCCCCAGAGTGGGGGCTAGACAAAATACAGGAGTTTACCCACTAAAACTCAGCGATGTCCCTCTCATGGTAGGCGAGGCGCGGGATCGGCCCGGAGGCCATACACCGCGCAGATCATGTCCCTACCTACAAGATGGCAAAAAGTTATCGAAGAAAATGGTACTAAAGTATGTATTTTACTTCTATGTAATAAACTTAATTAAAAAGTGTTTAACTTTCATATAAACTGCGAAGAAAGTTTTTCCCCTAACTATTATATTGGAAATGGTATCTACATAGTAATTTTGTCTTGGAAATATTTGATTGTTTGTTTTTAAGTTTGAATCCAAACTACCGGACCGATTTTTAAAACTCTTTCATCTACGGGTAGTTACATCATACGGGGTTGACATAGGGCATATAATTTATGCATGCGAAGTCGCGGAAACAGCTAGTTTAGATAAAAAATTTATTTTATTTATTTTTTGCAATATTCATTTGCGATTTATATTTTGTGGATTATAAAACGCCGGCACCTATGTATGACGGAGCATCGTGTGACGTAAAATTAATGTCGGTGTTTTTGCGAGTGCAACCAGTACTCGTGTTTATTGAATTGTGACGTCATAGCTCAAAATGTCACGCGACTAATTTAAATTCTTCAGACTGTAACATAAGTAGGATTTTTTTTTAACTTTATATATAAAGGAAATACATTAAATTTACTTTACACACGTATTTATATTTACAGGACGACATATATTACTGTTTATAATAAACATTTGAAGCGTTCTAATACTACTACAATATTAATTTGACATCATATTAGGCTCTGTATAATTAAAGGTACTCTAACTTAGTTATATAAAGAGACTTTAAAGGTATAGCGTATTTAGATATTAATGACGCTAAATATAGACGAACTAACTTTAAATGTAAAAAAGCACTTATGTTTAGAGATGGGAACAAAAATCGTCTAATAATTAAATTTTTAAACTAGTTATGACATGAAAATGGGACAATTTATCAAACTCCATATTACAATTGCAATTCTTTTTATGATAGTTATGTTTCCTAAAAAAATATACTACATTCGGTTAACTTATCTTTTAACTAACGTGCTCATAGTTTGGCTACTCAATATTAGATTAAATTGTCAAAAATAATTAAACATTTTGGCCGTTACATAGCTTCAGACTCTTGGACAGTATGCTAGGAGTTCTTCACGGGAGCAAGATTTAAAGCAACATTCATCGATGACGCCTCGTTTGCCTCTCGAGTCCGTCAGAGCTTGGGATCGCGGTATCATCCATGACCATCCCCATTGTTCACTGGGTACACCCATGTCTGCAAAATTTGGTAGTTCCAAGCCTGGTCGTGCCAGACCTGGTTCATTTAAAAAGTGATCCCATCTGGACCTCTTGCCCTCCTGTTTTGGACAAAGAAACTTTAGAGCTTCTGACAATCTTCTACCGCAAAGAACCAATGGTGGTCCTTCCGAAGCGGCTACCAAAGTTAAGGCAGTCAAGATGAACACAATAGTAGTCTTCATTTTAATCGAAGACAATGCAAACTAGATTGCGAATGAGGTGAATTTACCACACTAACGTCTTTTATACGAGGTACACTAATGAATATTTCATGGGTGTCAATTTATTATATGCAGTTACCTTAAGTTTGATGACGTCAGTACCCCATAATATGTCAAATAAATGCCGTCACATGGATTCATGTTTGAATAAACAGTTGCTCCTGGTATGTATTATTATGTATTATATTTATCCCACGCGAGATCTGAGTAAATTGTGAATATTCCTTCAAATTATTCCTTTGTACATTTTATGAACTAGACTTGTTCTTCTTAGTTGAATTCTAGTTACTTAGTTTAGAACGAATTACTAAGTACCTATCAAATGACACAAAGAGCTCTTTCAAATATTGGTACCATAACTCCAATATTATTTAACGATAACTCTATTATGATATGTAGTTAAGAATTTTGTGTAATTTTGTCAAAAGATCAACAGAAACCTACTAGGTATACTCATTAAAATAACAATTAATATGTTGTTTGTTATTTACGATCACTGAACACATTGTTCCACTTACTTGAATTGTCATATATAATTTTCATCATGTACGCTTTATACGAAATCAAGTCAGCTGTAAAACATATATCAGTGTTTGAATATTCATTATCTGATTTTGCTATAAAGTCTAAAGATCACATCACAAAATCACATTTAGCTTCGTCCTCTCGAAGCATAGAGACCTGAACTGTATTACGTCCATTTGAAAGTCATTCTGTTGAAATCATGAAGATCTTCTTATTCATATTTGTCATCATCGCTGCTCTACTATCATCGACATCAGGCAAGAGTCAAAATCAATTCTACTGTGGGAGAAAATTAGCTAACGCCCTTGCGTACTTGTGTCCTGCTGGAATGTTGGGTAAGAGAGCAGAATATAACACCATAGAAGCATTCAACGATTTCGATTGGCCGTGGATGTCAAGAGCTAAGGCTCTGGAAGGTTCGAGAGGCAAGAGGACAGGTCCTGGAGTTATTTCGGAGTGTTGCGACCAACCTTGTAGTTTGAACGAACTGTTGTCGTACTGCTAAATTGCTAATGCTTCATTGCCGTGAACACGTTCTTGTTTAGAAATAAATGTAGTTCAATTGAAATGTTTTTCTAGTCGAACATTTTGTTACGTATTATTTTGATTATGAGTATGGTGACCTGTTTTATTATATTTAAATATATTTTTAAGAATTGAAAAATGCTGTGTTGTTAATATCAAAAACTTACATAGTGCAGTAAAAATTCTGCCTCGGACGATTTGTTTGAGAATATTGATGCTTATTATTTTAATATTTTCTGGTAAAACGGTTTTTATTCTCTATCAATTATTTTATTGAACAATTAATAATAAGTAGAATTTATAAGTATCAAAAGATTCATTGCCGACAAACAGTCACGGGTATAGTGAAAGGAAGGACTAAATATTATGTAGCTAGTTTGCTAACTTTCATAAATGATGTATATTGAGCACCTACTCTATTTGTCCAAAAAATTTGGGAATGCTCTTACAATGCCAGTACATTAAAGGCAGAGTCAGGTCCCACTTCTGTTGCGACATAAATTAAACAATGTGTTTCTTTGGAGACATTAGATGAAATACAAAAATAAGCGCTTATTCGTTTTCAGAGAATACTATTTCTCCGTCTTCTTCCAATGAAGGAAAGAATCAGGCCCGTAATTATACCTACCCCTATTAGCATTGGCATATTTATATAAATTATATTTTCTGCTATTGTTTCTATATTTTGTTTTATAATTACCAGTGTCATCACATTTCATTTGATGATTTTGATATAATAATTTAATAGCTTCTCTAACAACCGTCCTAATTTTCGTCCCGCGATGTTTACGATGTAAAATTACAGCGACGGGCTTTTTTCTCGACGGTAAATTGCCTCTCATTATGTCTACACGGTGTATTTTTAAATTGGGTAACAACTATTTCCATCTTGTTGCGACATGTTTAATAACATTATCCAGGTAAACACAAACGTATGGATTTGAAAAACTATTAAGAGCATAAAAGTCAGTAACGACTAACAAATAAATTAATTAAACTTATAAAAGTATTTCACTTTTAGAGTTACAAGTATAATTCTTCTAGTTCTATGTCTAAAATTTTTACTAGATGAGCCAGGAGGCGGATCATCATCTTTAAAAACCATCATGTTGACTTTCAAAAATAAGGATCACAAATGAAAAATAAATGAATTAAAGTCAACAATTGCTAAACTCAAGAGAATGGCGGTGATCGTTACAACATTGTTACAGTAGTAGGTCTATCTCAAGTTACCTAGTTACAGCCCATAGGGTATGGCAATCCGAACCTTCGGGACAGAGGCACCGAAACCGGCAATCTGAAATCATCTCTCCATCTGAAAATGGAAAAGCTTACAAATTACAGGCTTTTAAATTAATCAAAAGTGGTTTCAATAAATAGGTAGAGATGAAAGTTAATATTGAATGAATATCTCCCAATGTACTTAATATTTTATTGAGGAGTATGTTCATTATCGCGTGCGAGGTACTAATGATGGTGATACGCGAAGTCTTAATGCTTCATGGTATATACCAGTGTATACGCGATAAAATTTTAATGGACAATGATAATGTTTATAAGTTATTGTTATTTATACATCTTGGAGATATTATAACATTTTAAGTGTCTATCTACATGGTTTTTATTCTAATAAGTTTTTCATTAAAATAAATACAATAATTTGTTAAAAGCTGAAATGAGTCATAATATTTTTATTATATCTATCGAAATGGGACTAGTTTTATTTTTAAGAAGAATATTTAAATGACTTAATTTAACATTTCAACATATTTACACAATGAAGAATCGAAACAAATTTAAATGAATCTCTAAAATGTGTTGCTGACCGCAAGACTCGAGAGAAGTTAGATCGATTCGGCCATTTTCTTTTTAAAAATATCGTTGTACTTAGAGGCAGTTTCTGATGTAGAAAAAGAGTAAAAACAATACTTTTATTTTCCCATATAAACTCTGGTGATGGGATTAATTAATAAATTTCTCATTGAAATTGTCATTACATCATATAAATGAATTTTTATGCATTTTTAATTAAAAATATATCATTGTATTTTGATTTACATTTACATGATATAAAACAGCGCTTCGGTAAAATAATATGTAATTTGCATGCTATTTCAATAGGTATAGTAAAATACGATAAGGTTTATTTGTATAATAGCGCAATCACCGTTTTATGTTATATTTTATGTGAATTATCATCAGCATTTATTAATGTTCCCGCTGTCGAGGCAGAGGTCTTCAATATTATGGAGAATCATATAGAAAACGACTAGTGCGGATTGGTGGGTGTTAATGACTGCAGATACAACTGACACAATCGGCTCTGAATGCTTTCCAAAGTCGTAAGTAAGATGGCAGTTGCTTAGCGAAAATTTCTTAACCTCTACAATCACAGGCCGTAACTTGCGCAATCAAACTACACCTTTATGCTAATTTTTATATATTGTAAGTAAAGGGCACCGACTGCGTATGCTGTTAAAACTACGCTTGGTACACACTAGATTCGAAACTTTTGTTGGTGAAAATTCTTATATTTTGTTCGTCTGTTCGTCGGGTGGATTATTAAATAATACTTAACAAGTATTTTTATTTATTGCATTATCAATAGTTTAGGGCGATAAATTAGTTGAAATATCGCATGGCGTTACACTTTTGTACATTTTCAACATAGTTGTTATATTAGCGAGTCGACTTTAACGATAACACGATCTAAGCCATATCTTTTCAAATTAAAGCACATAAAACACGAACCTATCTAATATTGTCTGATCTCACTGACAGACTAAATAAAACTCCTCTTTTTTACCCAAGCATCATCCCGTTGCGTTGCAAAACATTTGCAGCTACAAATTACCGAAGATGTGGCTGTATGATGCTATGTTCTTTTGCTTTAAATTAACAGGAATAATATTGATTTGCCAATTGTGGGTTATTGATCAAGTAAATTAGTAAGTTCGTCCGGTAAATGATTTTAAATGTTTTTAAATACAAGGAGGGCGTGAATTCTTTTCGGTCTATCGATCTTTGAATTTTTCAAGTCTTCCATGAAGACAACATACACACTTCAGATTTTTTTTCCTTTAAATAAGGTGATGAAACTTTGTTTTGGTTTTACCATATAACCTTAAATTCATTCAACTCTCACTATTTACGAAATAAAGAGAAATCCCACCAATCAAGAAATAACCCTTTCCATGTACTACCATCATAGGTACTTTACCAGGCAATCTAGGTATTTCAATAAATTCGATTTCTTCGCAAATAAAAAGGTTCCGTTGTTAAGATTATTATCCGCGCGATGGACCGGGAGTGAGTTTTAAAATAAAATAATTTGTACTTATTTTATTTTATTGGTACGTGTATGGCTGAGTACTGTGGCTTAAATGACTAATTTTAAAATCGATCACTTTGAATTCGACATTTGAAAGATATTCATGATCTTTACGCTACACCTATTTGACATGTGATAGCAATTGCAATCGCGACGTTTTATTGAAACATGTTGAATGAACGGTAATGTCTATTTGACGTGAATCGGAATGAGGAAGTATTTAAAAATAAAAAGAAAGTATCAAAAAAGCACCTCCGCTAGATGACGACTCTAGAAAAAGTTGATTTTTGCAGGAAAACAATGGACCAAAGATAGTCATTTCCATTTCTTTTAACTAACATATTAAAAAATTGAAATTTCAAAGTTCGAAACTTAGATATCAATATAAAATAGCATATGAGTTGTTAATTGACTTTTGAAAATTTATTTACTTTTATACATGAAAGAAAACCGGAAGGGTTGTCATGGAGAAATTAAGAAAGTACTGTAGTGACATCTAGTTTGATATCGGGAACTAATGTTTTTTTTTAATACTTCCTCATTGTCTAAGCAAAGTAATATTTACAAATATCTTTGAAAGCTATTGGGAAATGGCAAATGAAATGAATTATCTATGAAATTTATCTCATGCAAATCATGATTCGTTCCAAAAGCTATTGTGACTTTAAAAGTTACGCAATTCCATAAATCACTATCACAACCGCTATACGTTTGGAAGGGACACCCCTCATCAATAAATGTTTTTGTCATATTCATTATCATTGTAAGGTATATAAATGTATTTTTTTCTTTCAAATATACAATAGTGAATCGCACCACATACACCACATAATTTGATAAATTACCTTTATCATGTTGAATGGAATATTTTCAATTTACAGCTAAAGATTAAAGTAACTGGGGCCACGGAAGTGTCCCTGCCAAGTCGAGCAAAAAAGTAAAAAGGGCACGACCATACCATCCTTTTCTTAAAGCTATTCGGGACATTTTTGACTCCCGGTAACTTCGTTATGGAGTAAACTAGAAGCTCAAATGTTCAGTGACCAAGATGGCATCATATAACGAGGCACATTTCCAAATCGCATTAAATTTGAACGAGTACTTTAAGAATTATTGCAATTCAAAATTACTTTAATTTTGTCACTGACTGCCACATAGATCATCAAAATTCTAAGGTACTTTTAGTAGACCCACGAACTTCAAATTTTGAACAATGTTTTAATTTTGCATACAAAGCAAGGAAAAAATATAACATTAGGAAATATTTGATTTCTGTATTATTTATAACTGTAGAAAATTTTGAAAATATCCGTCAATATGTTGGTTAGTAACACAAACCAAAGAGAATTTTACAAACATTTACCAAAGAGTAAATAAAATATACATAATTAAAATCTATGATAACTATAATCATAGGAAAAGTTTTGGAAAAGCTATTTACGTTTGGACATAATTATGCCTTCCATAGATATAAATCTATGTGGCGTACAGAGTGGACCAACAAAAGGCCAACAAACGGAACCAAATGGGCTTCGTTAATATATCCATAGGTATAATGATCGATATATAAGAGACAAGGGCTAAGTTGATTCTTTAGTATTTACATACTAAAGGTCAAGCATATGTAGAGTAGCATAGTGGTTTGGTGGATAAGCGCCACGATCCACGATCGTTGTCGTTAAGTAACTTTTGCAAAGGTTGGTCACTGGATGGGTGACCAAAAAAATGATTATTTCGAGCTACTCTGTGCTTCGGAAGGCACGTTAGCCTATTGGTGCCGACTGCATTTGTACTCTGTAATACCATCTTATCCGCATTGGGCCAGCGTGGCCTTCTTAACCATTCAAAAAGACCTGTGCCCCAGCAGTATATGTGGCACTTTCGAGACCTGTTTATATCTAATCAGTGTCAACTTTGGTTGTATTCTGAATATAATAGACTTATTGAAGATACATTCACCAAGTGGATTTATCATATGATTTATCGAAAATAAATAAATTAATGCCTTTTTAAAAGTCCATAGAGGCAGAGCATGAG